CAGCTTAGCTTCATTTGGCTGTCCCACTCCCCATACTGACAGGTAAGATATTTATAGTCTCCCTTGAGAATGTATCCTTCATTGCAGAAATACTCAATCACAGTGCCATGAGAAAGTCTTTGGCATGGGAAGGGGTGGCAGGTGAAGCCTCCGTTCTCTGGCTGATATGGACGCTGGCATACTGTTAAGGGTAGAAATAATAAATGAGTGATAGGATGACAGAACAGCAAAATCAAACGGAATTCTGAAATAACTGTTATACTGAGATAAAATGGGCAAACCATCACTATAAACACTGAAAACCTAGCAGGACAGAGAAACTTTATTCCCATTATTCATAAATGCCTTGTTGTTGAAGGTGGTGAACAAATGATCTTGACAACAATTCTTACCTTACACCTAGCATTAACATGTCACTGGTGTTGTATGTAACAAGACAATTACCATCACTGTGTATGCAGCGAGGAGACTCAGAGGACCAGTGTCCCAGTGTGGTGCAGGTGACAGTTCTGGGTCCATCCAGGAGGTAACCGGGATTGCAGGTATACTGTAGTGCTGTGCCAACTGGGAAGAAGCTCCTACTGGTGTCTGTCAGATTGGCTGAGCCATGCTGCACCATCGAGGGTCTTCTACAACCTTAAAAAGGAGATGATAAGGAAAATATAGTTGATAGCTGTAAACAGCTCAACTCCAGCAATAACTACAGGCTTTGTTCATAAAACATTTTCTAAGCTATAAAAATAGATGAAAGAATAAAATAGTTATAACAGATAAGAAAAGCCTTTTGATACAGTATGAACTGATGTATCAGCGAATCCCATTTTACCTTGCTCAATGACGCAGCTGACTGGCATTACAGTGTCCCATTTCCCATACTGACAAGTGATGAATTTATAGTCTCCCTTCAGAATATAGCCATCATCACAGAAATACTGAATCACAGTGCCATGAGAAAATCTTTTGCATGGAGAGGGGTGGCACGTGTAGCTACCATTTTTTGGCTGATATGGAGGCTGGCATACTGTCCATGAAAAAGAAAGAAATACGATAAATGTATAGAAACAGTAAGATGTGTTATGTCTTATCTTATTTTATCTGGAATAATAAAAATAAAAAAAATCATTTTCTTTTAAGGATACAATGCACCTAAGAATTAGGCAAATTAAGAATTGCTAGGAGGTTTGTCTTTACCATCACTGCGTATGCAGCGAGGAGGTTCAGAGGACCAGTCTCCCAGTTTGGTGCAGGTGAGGCTGGTGGGTCCAGCTGGCAGGTAACCAGGATCACAGCCATAATGTAGTACTGTGCCCACAGGGAACAAGCTCCTGTTGCTGTCTGTCAGATTAGCTGAGCCATGCTGCACCATGGAAGGTCTTATACACCCTAAAGAAGGTGGTGGCGGCAGGGGTAATTTATGTTATTCATTACATTTTTATTATTAAATACAAACACAAAATGCTTTACAAGAAATTGTAACAGATAAAGAGAAAATAAATATATTTGAATAAACACAATTAATTTGAAATTATGTCTTTCGAAGACTTTTTTTAATTGCAGGGCAAAATGTGCATATGATAACCGGAACATCTCCAAAAATCCAAATCTCCCTGGCATTAATTTGCTGCACGCTCATGTTTAGCCGATGTGTTAAACTTTGAAGAGATGGGATCAATCTAAGGACTGACCAACCTTGGCTTACACAGCTGATTTCCATGGGGCCGTCCCATTCTCCATCTTGACATGTCAGGTAGTTATAGTCTCCGCTGAGCATGAAGCCCTCATTACAGAAGAACTCAATCACAGTGCCATGGGCGAACAGTCGACAAGGGGATGGGTGGCAGGTGTAGCCCCCGTTATCCGGTTTAGAGAGGGGGAGGCATGCTAAAGAGAGGAGAAAAAAAAGAAGAACAAAACAACTTATCTTTAAAAGTACTTGTGCAGAAAAGTACTTGTGTAAAAAAATCTGGCTGAAAAAAATATTAGACAGCAAAGTGCAACATACATAAAACTTGAAAAGAACTGATGGTTTTTAAAAAAAGGGTTTAAATCATGAGATAAAGATGTTAGGTAAACTGCTCAAAACACATTAGCCACTCACTATTTTACAGATCATAAAGAAAGACAACAGTGGAGAGAATATCTTACCACCACTGCGTATACAGCGTGGAGGTTCAGAGGACCATCGTCCCACTGCGGTGCAGGTGAGGATGTTGGGTCCATCTGGGAGGTACCCGGGGTCACAGCTGTACTGCAATACTGTGCCCACAGGGAATGAGCCCCTGTTGGTTTCTGTGAGATTTACCCAGCTGTTCTGAACCATGTACGGCCTCACACATCCTGGGAAGAGAGGAAGAACTCAGAAGAATTTCTTTAAAACTGCTTTTTCAAGGCAACAAAGAGTTCAGATTGTTATTTCAGCTAATCTGAGGCGATCGTGACTCAAGTGTTGGCAGTTTGTCTTGTAATCGGAAGGTTGCCGGTTTGAGCCCCGGCTCGGACTGTCTCGGTCGTTGTGTCCTTGGGCAAGATACTTCACCTACCACCTACTGGTGATGGCCAGAGGGGCCGATGGCGCGATATGGCAGCCTCGCTTCTGTCAGTCTGCCCCAGGGCAGCTGTGGCTACAACTGTAGCTGCCTCCACCAGTGAGTGAATGTGAGAGTGGATGAATAGTGGCATTGTAAAGCGCTTTGAGGGTGTCGAAAAGTGCTATATAAATGCAATCCATTATTATTATTATTATTATTATTATAATAATCTCAAATCTAAAAGTAAACTACTGTATGAGGTAAGGCCGCTTCCAGACACACTTTTTCACACCTTTTTGCAATCTTACAAATCTAATTCAAGATGATCACATGAAAACTATTTTCTCTGGATTAACAAAAGAAACAGCTGATCATATTACAAAAGAGGGAGCCAAATGTTACAAAACAAAATGAATTATTCCTGCATGACTCACTGGTAATCCTGAACACTATTAAAAAGTACCTCATAATGATAAAGACTTTTTAACAAATATAAAGGACCTTATAAATGTAGAGCAGAAAGGCTTTTGTTCCAAGAGACTGACTAATCTCAGCTTTCCAGAAAATCAACGTGTCATTACAATCACTCTACTATGGAAGATACCACAACAACAGAGGCAAATTAGGAAAGGTCAGTGGATCACCAAAATCTGTTTAAGCTTTTCAAGACATTCACAATTTAATTAACATATTTATTAATTAACAAGTATCAATATTTGATATATGATAACATCAGTCTATACGATCCATTTTTATTTATAAACCTCACCATGAAACTGAAAGGTATAGAGACGTCATGGCTGCCTTTTAATTAGCCATGTACGGGCAGACGTTAGAGGTAATTAATTGATTGCATCCCTGGTGTTATCCAGGTGAAACTTGTGGTGATCCTCTTCAGTGTTGATACATATGAAACCAAATTATTATTTTATTTATTGCCATCATGGCTTGATAACACTTTCATCTGAGGTATAATTGATTTTCTCCTCTTTTTTTAAAAAGACAACAAAAAAAAACAACAACAAAAACACAGCTTTGTATCTTTTCCCTCCCGGTCTCAGACATGGCTGAACGGTAGCCATAGCCTCTTTGATTTAAGAAGCGTATACAGAGCCTTTTTAATGTTTCCAATGCAAATTCTTCAAATTGCCTAACAACTCAAGAGTTGAACTAGAAATTTAAGTATAATAATTATGTAGTTGAGCTATAAAGTTAATAGGTATGCTACACAGAGCTGCTTTATTAGGGCTACAACATAATACATCTGATGACATCTACTGTGTAGTAGATGGAGTAGGGCTACTGACTTCTAATATTCACCCATTCAATCTGTGTCTTGATAAACCTAATTTAATAAGTCTATTGTGAGAAAAAGATGTCAACATAGCAAATTCTGTTCCATACCTGACCCCTGCCCAGTGGACACTACAATCAGAAACAGCAGCAACAGGAAGGACCGTTTAGTGGCTGAGGTGTGGGCCCAAAAGGCTTTTGATATTGACTCTATCATTCCATTGCACATCTTCCCCTTCAGAGTCAATTCAACCTGGCAGAATCAGAAAATAACATTATTACAAAACTGTCGATACACAATGCTTTAAAGGTTATCCTCCACAGCCTCTATATACTGACACCTGCTTGGTGCAGGTACACTGCAGAGCTTGGGCAGCTGCCAGCGAAATGGGTGTGATTATGGGGAAGTGCTACAATGACAGCACTGTAAAGATATTGGTATTAGCATCTGGCAGAAGAGCATTAAACAGAGAGCAAAACCAAACACTCGCTTTCATGCGTTAAATATACACTATTTAAGAAGCAATTGCTTTATCTAAATACATACGACAGATAAAATATAACTACGGTGGTTCCGTCTCAGCGATTACACACCCATTTTCACTGTTTCGTTTTTAGCATTCGCAGCTCCCTTTAATAACGTTACAGGACACAAGGCCCGGACAAAAGATGTCATTTTTACACAAATAGTATAAAATGTTGATAAGTGGGTACCGCTTGTGCTATAGCCAATGAAAAAGTATTATCCGACAAAGTATATCATCTGATTTCATTGTTACTGTAGTTCAACATTTACCGTTTTAGCTTGCTAATGCTAAATAGACAGAAACTGCTCACTTTTAAACGTTACTCACCACTAAAACACGGCCTCGAAACCTCCAACGTCGCACCCTCACAGAGCAGACATGAATAAGCAATATTCCAGCTACGCCGAAAGAATTTAATTCTACAACAGAAACAACAAAATATATGATTTAACGCGCCGAGCGTTACCGCCCCAGCTAAGCGCCAGCTAGCTCCAAGCTTGACCCGCTACGCTAGCTAGCCGCATTGATTGAAGCGTCAGCTGAGCCGCCTAGATTTCGTTCAGTAGCCATAGTAACAAATGTCCATAGCTACCCCATCAGAGGTGATTGCGTCCTTAGTTACCAAACATTTAGCGGAAAAGTCTTTGACTGTAGTTAGTTATTTAATGGTTACAAATACATCCTTGTAACTTTAGCATTGAAGCGCTGCTAAAAACACACATTATGGAAATCACCAGAGGCACTTTAGATGACATTTCCCGACCTGCGTCGAGCGAACAAAAAGCTAGCCGCGTGTCCAGCGTATCATTACCTCAAAGTGACAGAATTTGTCCTACAGCTCCATTTTCCCTTGTTGTTTTGCCCAGCGATGCTCCTGATGCTCAGGTAATTAACTAAACACGACATATTAGCATTGTATATGTCATTGGTGTGCATCTCGTAACTTTAGACTACAATTTCCTGTAGATTCCGAACAGCTCTGAAGAGTCTACAGGCCACTCATCAGTCACATGTCCTGGCAAAGGTAATAATTCCACACAGTGTGCTGTGTCGTTGACTTTTATTGACGGTCACTCACTTACAAAAATATTGGACTGCAGATCAGTCTCACGCTGATGCTTCCGAGGGACAGAATGAACATTTTAAACTGCAGAGAGCTATTGAAGAAATTAAAAGACTCGATGAGATACTGTCTGCAAAAATCTTCAAACTAAAAGAAGTCCGGCGACAAAGAAAGGAGTTTCAAGCAAAACTCTGGCAAGAGTTCAAGGTAGACACACCTTTGTATCCAATCTCCTTCCTTGATCAGTTTATTAGACTGTTTTAAAACTAAAATATTTTCATTCTTATCACCTCAAAGTCAGAAGTCGAAGTCAGCTTGATTTTTAAAAACCATATGTACAGCTCATACGCAGGAATTTGAAATTGCAATACTCCCACGGCCCTGAGTGTTAAATTAAAACAATCTAAAAGATAAAAAAAAAAAATCACCTATATGTGATGTTATACTGTGTGTTGATCTGCAGCAGAATAAACCTGGAGGTCACTCTGGATGTGCTCAGGAAGCTTTGAACACAAGGTTGTTTTTGGCTTTGGAAGTACCCGAAGGTAATATTCAGAACAGCAACAAGTGTGTGGGGAACATGCAGTTCATATCATCACTGAGTCACTGATGAAGACTTTCTTATCGCCCTCTAGGAACAGATGAGGACAACAACGTTATACCTGTGTTTGACACTCAGATTCCTGAACATGAGCAGAATGGAAACAACCAGCACTCGGAGCCAAGTGAGCTTGTGGAAAGACTGCAACAGAAAATACGTTCTTGTTTGTGCTTCCAAAATTGTGCACACGATGGCGCCACAGGGTCAGGGAACTTTAGCATTTGATTCTTGCATCACTTCAGCCTGCTGCAGGCATTAATGTGCTAAAGGAAATATTTCCAAGAAATGAATGTATAGCAACTGGCCCTGTGTGACTCATAAACGTTTTTCTCTTCAGGATCATGTGCCTTTTTTATGATATTGATTCCCTAAGAAATAAATCTCTTCCCAAAACAGCAGTCAATTCAATGCTAATTGCTCCATTCAAAGATTCTTAGGCAGATTAGCTGCTTGTTATCATAGAGGCCTAAGATGTAGTTAGTAGATTGTCCTCCTGCCTGCTATGCCACCTTGTAAGAATATTTTTAGTCTACTTCTTTACAAACTACTTATATTTGTATATTTTACTCTGATCACTCTGATTTGAGCAGCTGCAAACTCATCATGTCAATAGGATCACAGAACCACATTTGTAAAATAACATTATCAGATTTAACTGGTTATTAGAGTCTTGACTTACTATTTCAATATTTATCTTCATAAATGCATTGCATACTTTCCTTGACAGGTAACCAGAGGCCAGACAGCTTGATCAGATCATTTGAAGAAGATTATGAAGACACTAGGGAAGACCAATTTGAACGCAGCCACTCTGGAGATTCCAAAGGCATGAATAAACAGAAGGACTTTGTCAAGAAAAACATTGAGGTATGTCAAAGTTCAGACTGGGCCAAATGGAGTACTTGGATATATCGCATGACTTAAAGTGAGTCTCTCCACTGTTGGTTTTTCCACTGAGGAAAATATTTGGTCTCTTGTTAAAAAAAACAACAACCCCACCCACCCCAATAATTTATACATAATAGGACACCACTAAAAAGAAAAGAAATGCCGGGCAAATAATGATTTTTAGTTTCTATCACAAATGTTGTGTTATGCAATAGCTTGTAAATGGCGGAGGAGGTGAAGTGCTTTTGACCCAGGCAGAAAAAAGGCGTCTGGCTGAGCTCCTCCGAGAAATAGATGAAGAGGAAGACGTCCCTGCCAGAGGCGCAGACAGCAAGGTAGGCTGACAAGAAGCCCTAACAGGCAACATATGCTGTAGAATGAGTCTCTCTTTTTCAAGTTTCTTTGTACTTACCCTTTGTGTCTCAGAGGCCTTGTGCAATAGCACAGTCGGAGGAGATGATCTCATCAGCTGCCTCCTCTACCAACACGTTGATCCTTTCTGCTTTCTACATATAATAAAACTTATAATTCTTATAATGACCTTTTAATACAATCCCTTCATTTTTTCAATAAATAGTTTCTTTTGTGATATTATACAGTCCTGTAAAAAGGAGCTTTCACAGGACTGTATGCAGCCCTATACATACAGTACTATAATCCATGAGTTTGGAGAATCGTCTTTACCCATATGGAAAAGAAATAGTAAAAACTTATATGATTTACTCATGAAAGTGGCCACTTTCTCATTACTTTTATATATTGTTTTAGTAAGTATCCAAAACATACAAGTTTCATTATATAATTTTCCAAGGGATCTTATATCTGTTTTCACTCTTGTATGCTTTTCATACAAGTTTCACACAAGACAGATACAAACTTTTATAAGATTTATATATATCTTTTCCATATGGGTAGCAGCAAGAATTTGAAGTATTTTTTTCTGTGTGACACTATCAGTCTGTCACATCATTGTGGAGGAATTTTGTTCCACTTTTCTTTAAACTGTTGCTTCAGTTCATTAAAGTTTCCATGCAGTTGTTTATTCTCAGCTCTTTTACAGCATTTTAGTTGGCTTGAGGTTCTGACTTTGACCGGGCCTTTGCAACACCTTGAATCTTTTTCTTTTTCAGCCATGCTGTTGTAGATTTGCTGCTGTGTTTGGGGTCATTGTCCTGTTGCATGATCCAGTTTGGGCCTAGTTTAATCTGTCGGACAGATGGCCTCATATTTGACTCTGTGGTTGACTCAATAACACCAAGGTGCCCATGTCCACAAAACAAGCCGAAATCAGCACTCCTCCACCACCATGCTTGACAGTGGGTATGAGGAGGTTTGCGCTGTTATGCTGTTTTTGGTTTGTGGCACCGTGCATTGAGGACAGACATTGCTCCAGAACTACTGGGGACTGTTCAGATGCAGTTTTGCAAACCTAAGCCGTGCTGTCGTGTTTTTTTTTTTAGCGAACAGAGGCTTTCCTCGCAACCCTGGCAAACAACTCATGCTTTTTCTCAGAGTACTGGCGCAACCTTTAATGTTTCACATGCTAACTGAGTCCTGTAGAGTCTGAGATGTAGCTTTGGGGGTGGGGTGGGTTTGCTGTAATGTCCACTATAAAGATTGTGGCACTATGATAACACACACATGAATACTACCGACCAGCAAACAGTAAAAACCTCATTTTTTATAGAGGTACTCAGATTTGGTGATGATCAGTTAAGTGAATTTGATTAGCAGCACCTGGCTGTTACTTAGCCCTTAATTCCTATGAAAGCAGTAGTGGTGTACTGAGTTTGAAACATTCTTTTTCACATAACTGTAGGTGGAAATATATTATCGTTGTTAAAATTGTTAAATAACTCAGCCACACTTTGCCTCTCAGAAGAGCATATGGGTCAGATATCCATGTTTTAAAGACTGCTTGGCAGCCGACGGGCAGAAGATTCTGACTTCTGAAAGCGCTTCACATTATGAGCCAGATGTCAAGTGCCACATGTGGTTCACACGGAATGCTCCATGTTATCCATTAGTTTTATAATTATGTTTTCAAAACTATTCCCTCTGCCGTGTTTCAGCACAATTCAGAAGCCAGGATCCCTACAGCTTCACACACTGTGCTGATAGAGCTTAAAGCTAAGAGAATGGACCTTTTGTTTTCCTTTGAGGATTTATCTGAGACCCTGCCACCTGGATTTCTCTGTGAACCCACCCACTCCATTCTAACTTCAAATGATTTTGTTTTCACTTTTAATTTGCCTTAATAACTCTTTTGGCAGCTGTGCGACCAGTTTGAAGTCCGATGAGATGAAACCCTCTGGAATGCAAGAAAAAACACCCTGCTTACCTTTAACATGCGGTTCCATTTAGTTCAACACTGACAGCTCTGCATCCGTGGCACAGCTTGCCAAGGTTTTGTAATGTCTCGGTGCTCTATTCGTGATGCTTCTCTTGACTTTTAAAACAGTACTGAAATCATTTTGGTGGCAGATACCAAACTGGGGGAAGCACAGATGCTCTGAGTCTTTTCATTGGCCGCAAGAAGACTTCCTGTTATTGCAAGACATGCTATTATGAATAGCAATAACGTAGCAAGCATATTATTTATGTCACCATGACTCTGGCAGCGAAGTGTTCTTAGTTCTGAGGACTTCACCAAGTTCTTGGTAGAGTCCTTTGGGACACATCAACCAAAATCTGCTGCTTACTGTTTGCCTCACACATTGATTTGGATGTTACTGACTCCTGTTCTCACAAGCTCTACAGTTTTGTGTAACCCGATAAATCAGGAGCAGTCAGTAATCGCAGAACGCGTTTATCCCTTAGGAAAGGCCTTGTGCGAGATCCTTTCACTATATAAGATAAGATAGAACTTTATTAATCCCTCGGGTGGGTTCCTCTGGGAAATTCTATATCTGGCTATAGGAAGCACCAAAGCTCTGTCAACACGCAGATTAACTCGGTCTTTATTTATCCATTTTCAGGTCTCTGTTCACATTCCTACACAGAAACTGGTCCAAACTGGAAGCTTCAGAGAGTTCAGTTTGCCCACCTTTACTTGGCAGAGGAAAAAGACGAAAAGCTCTCCATTGTGCCTCTTTTAGGCTCCTTCCATCTTGTATCGCAAATTTGACAGAACACATTAAAATATCTGTCATGATGTGAGTTTTACTCTGGTATTTTTTATTTTGTTGGAAACATCAGTGCTGTTTGTTGGCCACGGCTGGCTGTTTGTACGAATTTTTCCTTGACTTTGATAAATACCTACAGTATCACAATGCAGCTGAAATGGTAACTACTTTCACATGCGCATTTATGCACGTGGCGGGTCAATGAGGAAATCATTAACGAAGAATACATGGGGTAATAATGTCCCGTATTCTTGCACACATCCAACACAGGAAATTTTTGAGTTTTTGAGTGCTTTAATTGTTGAAACTGGTGAGCTTTGAGTTGCTTGGATGGATTTGGGCTTTTCCATACTGCTCCCTTTAAAGGCTTTGTAGATTCCCTCCTCCAGCATTATCTCTTTTTTTTTGTGACCACAGATGAAGATTTATTTAATATCAATTAGAGGCTTCATGATCAGACAGAGCTGTGCCCACTGGTCTGGGTTCAGACCTTTAAATCTGACCTCTCTATCAAGTTATTAAGGTGAGTTATATATCTGTCAGTGTTATATCTGTATATCAGTGCTGCTCAGTTTAGGGTAAAAGTAAAATTCTGGTCCAAGAGCTTGTTTTTCTTCTTTATCTGTGAATTCCTCTCTTCCATGGTGAGCAGCAGCAGGATTAAATCACTCTATGCTTGATGTTTTTATGCGATGTCTGTCAAAACCTTGCATTCTGTCATGCAATGGAACAAAATGCATGCATGTGAACCAAAAGGACATACGGACCCTGTCTGAAGTCTGGCAGCGAGATATTCTGCCATATCCAAGGAAATAATTGCAGCGACTGAAACAATAGAATGGATCGACATATGAAGCACTAATTTGTGTCATAAAAAAATTACGGGTCTCAGCTTTTACATTTTTGCGTTGTGATGTGTTCCACCTACTTAATAGACCCCAATGTTTGCTGTTTTCTTTTGCCAGTTTTCCTCCGAACCTAGTGTTCAGAGGTTACAGCTGCGTTCTTTGGAGAGTTACGATCCTCTTTGGCATGATAGTCTTATTGCGAGATCTTATCTCACCGCCGCACTGTGATGAGCTCATCATCCACACATTGTTTCCCACGTGAGCCCCACTGGGATAGACAGTTACTCTGAGGAAGATGCATTTGTCAGAGTTTGGCAATCGAGCCATCCAGACAAAAATACCAGGACCTAAAGTTGTATCGCTCTCATGTTTTTCCTTTTTTTTTGTACTTTAATATTACAAAGTTGCTAAATAACTAAGTTGGCAGATAATGTTCATCAGTCTCTCATTTAGGTTGCCACATAATAAAGCAGGCTAACACGCATTGGACCTTGTGTTTCTTTCAGGAGACCATGTGGGCCGTGTCTGTCCCCACAGTCCAGGGTTACACCCCGGAGCCCTCTGACCTGGAGCAGCTGATTGACATTGACTCCAAAATTGGCCTTCTCCTTCCTGTGGAAGAATTTCACTCTGTGCACAGCTCATACACCAACGTAACCATGTCACAGGTAAGCCAGTGTAGTAGAGTTGTAAGGGCAATTGGGTTTATACTCTATACTAGACCTCGGAGATCTCACCCCCGTTCACCAGTGGTGGGAAATATTATTGTGCAAGTGCAGAGGCTTTGTCTCATGTTTCCATCCAATTTTCCACATTTCCATGTAAGGAGCATATTACAATGCTTTTCATGCAGTATTAGCTGCTGGCAGATTTTAATGCAAAAAGTTTTCTTACAAACACTACCAGTCAAAAGTTTGGACACAGCTTCTCATTTAAAGGTTTTTCTTTATTTTTATGACTATTTACATTGTAGATTCTCAATGAAGGGATCAAAACTATGAATGCAAAAACTATGAACTATGAACTAACTCAAAGCATGTTTTATATTTTAGATTCTTCTTAATAGCCACCCTTTGCTTTGATTACTGCTTTGCACACTCTTGCTTCATATATTTGATGTCTTCAGTGAGTATCTACAATGTAGAGAGTAGTAAAAATAAAGAAAAACAATTAAATGAGAAGGTGTGTCCAGACTTTTGACTGGTAGTGTATGTTCTTCCCATGTGAGTAAGGGGGACTTGTATGTGCTAAATATGGTATTTATACAGTTAGAATCAAATGCTACCTGCTAACCTTTACCTCTTAAATGCTGTACATTTTCTAAGTTTTGACTCTGACCTGTACATCACTACAACATCAAATATTCCATTTTTACCGATATTTATAACTGTAAAAAGAATTTTCCAGGCCTCAGTCCTCTATCCTGGCCCAATCCTAGACGTGAGCTCAGTGAGTTATCTCAGGACTTTATATCACTGTGTTTTCAAAGCCAGATGGCATGTGTGTAACCTGTCGGTGGAAAATGATGTTTTTTTGAAGTCAATGTTGAGAACCCAGGGTGCCATTTTCTACTATCACTACTGGATCTAGTCTAGGAAAAACTGCAAACCTTGAATCTCGGTGCTGGAACAACATGCGAAGTACGTATGATATGATGTCCAGAATGTTTATGGCGTCGATCTAATTATTTCACTCTCACACTGTAAGTGTAGTCAATCATATGTGGAAATGGCAGTTTAACCAAGTGTAGCATTTAAAGTTGAGTTGGATGCAGTAATTATTCCACGTCGGTTCATCTATGCACAGCATCTGTCCGGATGATAAACGGATCTATAACCTGGCTGAGTAGAGTGCCAGATGCATACCATCAAAAAAGGTGAAGTCTTTGGCAAAGGTGACACACTGCCTCTTCAAACACCACTGTTTTAAATGGCTAAACTGATACTTAGGTTGAACCATATTATCATTACTCATTACTGTCACTACTCAGTAATCTGGTACTATAAGTAATACCATTCAAAATAAGACGATCCTCTCTTGAGCAAGATTCTCCCCACATGATGTGAACTGGACTTCTGGCCAGTAGTATGAAATCGTGATAATAGTAGACAGCTGGATGTGTCACTTTGTGCAGCCTACTTTCCCTCCCTTCCCACCCCTTTAATCATCTCGCCTGCTCAAAAGAGATCCTGGAAAAGTAACCCCCCCCCCATCATCCATCCATCATCTGCTCTCCATTAGTGTTGAAATGGCTAATTCAGGCATTCCTTTTCAATTGATGTAAAATGTGAATTGAACAATGACACTCAGATTATGAAAAGCAAATAACCAGTTGAGCAAATGATAAACTTCAAAATGCAGCCCACAGGTGTGAAAAATCAAGTGTTTTCTAACCTCAGCTCGCTCCCGTCTTGCTGTTGTGGCGCAGATTAAAAAACAGCCATCCGCAACAATAAATCGCACCAGTGGCTGTAAATCCTTAAGGTGCTCATAAAAGGAAATACGCCTTTGTTTTCAACTTACCTTTCTTCTTAGGCAGCAGCTCCTGAGCTTCTAACCGAAACCATTCGTGTAGCGTGGACCTGCTTGTTTGCCGACTCATTCCAGAGCCGACTGTAATGCACACGACGTTGATATATTAGTTTCAACAACACCGAAAGTGTTTTTTCCCCATTCGTATTAAGTCATGACCTAGATTTCCATGTTTTCCACTGTCTCTTCTTTTCTGGCTGTGTCACATTGTCACGTTTTACATAGAAGAGGGAGTCATTCTCTCTCGAGCGTGCACTCCCTAATAAAGAATCCGAAGTCTTAAATCTGCGTGTTCCGAACTCTGCGGTGTTCTTTCCCAGTGAGTTGCGATTGATAATCCCTCTTTCATTCCTAGCCACCTTAATAGTAAATTCTCCCTGGCGACACAGCCTCTCTGTTGAGGCTATGAGGGCTGATGGAGTCTGGGAGGCCCGACACCAGCTGGGATGCTGCCACAGAGGAGAGTTGCTCCCCATTAGAATGTAATTTCAGACCTGGTGGAGGTAGAGGAGTGCCAACGTTGCTTTCCTCTTTCATTAGGCATTTCCTTTTCATATTAACACATCCAGCAATCTTTACTGCATACCGTATAAAGCCTACTGCGAGAGTAAACTACCTCATATATCGCAAATTATCTACTTGTACAATATTTGCACACGAGATTTTAATATCAATGCTTTGAGATTTGATATCACCGAACCTTTTCTGTGTCAGTCATTAGACTGTAATGACTGAATGGTACGCTATTAAGATATCCAAGCACATGTCCATGTATCGGTCCATAAAGCATAGGAAGATTGTTTTTTCAATGCACTGCATTCATCATTGCATTGCTACATGGTGAGTCATGGTGAGGCTTTAGTGGAAAAAGCAGTGTTTTCTTTGCCTCTGGTCATTTATGATGATAGGAAAAAGTTCAGGTAGCTACAAACCACTGAAGACCTGGAGTGAAAGGAAATAAAACACAACTTTAATCACTGTTTCCCTTGGACACTGTCAGTTTTGGGCTTATGACAGCACCGATCCCTTTGCATTCTTCACTCTGCTCCCCTTTTCTCAGGCTTCAGATGAAATAGCCTCGCTGTCATTAAAAACATCTGTTGGGTTGCAGAATTAATGTACAATACACCCTCCTACTGTATCACTGTGTGGTAATGCCTGCACCACCCACAGCTCGAAGCCAGCAGAGACGATTCTGTCATGAGAAGTAGCTGCTATTGGGTGTTCGGTGACATGGGTGTGTATGAGTTCTTTACATCAGAATTACATATGTCATCCTTTCAAATCTGGCTTTTTTTGAATGTCTGGTTGCAATGAAAATTAACATTTTATGCTGTCATGGTTTTCAGTCTTGGTTTTCAATCAGTGTCACAGTTTATGTGCTCTGAAAGCCCCAAAAGCTTCTTCTGTATTTGAAGTGCAAGTCCAGCTGTGTTTTTGTTGTGCACCGGTCAGCTATATTTTGATGTAAGAGCATGAGGTCACTTAGTCACACTGTGTGGTTGCTGATGAGTGCCCATAATTCTAACTGCAACAAATGTTAAGTGGGAGACCAGAGTGCTGGGCAGAAAACGCCCTTTTGACTAACAGTTTGCAAACGTATCTTATTCAGTTCATTCATATAATTAAAGCTGTGGTAAAGATTCGTTTATATATATATATAAATATATATACTGCTCAAAAATAGATAGAGAAACACTTTTCAGAGTATAGACTCACGTTTGTTCAACTTCTGAGATATTGATGTGGTCAGTTAATAAACAAGGCATTGTTGTTAATTAGTTTAAGCTGCTTTTGTGTTAATGAAATGCCCCAAAACAGGGATTGTTTTACAGACCACTGAATTTTTTTACTTCCTCATCTTTTCTGATTGTTTTTTCACTAGTTGTGTTTTGGGCTAGGGTCAGTGTCACTACTGGTAGCATGAGGTGATGTCTGGATCCTACAGAGGTTACACAGGTAGCTTAGCTCCTGCAGAATGTCACATCAGTATGTGCCATTGGCAGAAAGTTTGCTGTGTCTTCCAGCACCGTCTCAAGAGCATGGATGAGATTAAAGACAGTCACTTTAGGAGAGCTGGACAGGGCTGTAGAAGGTCTTTAATCCATCAGGAGGACCGGTATCTGATCCTTTGTGCAAGGAGGAAAAGGATGAGTACTGCCAGTACTGAGTACTGCTTCTAATGGGGCCCGTGCTCGCTGATCAGTACTGTAAAGCCTGATTGGAATATGAAGTAGAATACCACGTTTGGGATTTTTATAGATGAGAGCAGGTTCACCCTGACCACATGTGACAGATGTGAAAGAGTCTGGAAAAGTCATGGAGAACGTTACGCTGCCTGTAACATCGTTTAGTACGGCCGATTTGGTGGTGAGTTAGTGATCGTCTGGGATATCCATGCAGGGATGCACAGATCTCTACAGGCTAGGCAACGGCACCCGGAATTATTCTTTTTAATGTTTTTTTTTCAGCTCTTCGCTCACCCCACAGGGTGCTGAGGATGTGTGTGGATTTTTCCCCCTGTTTTAATGCCAGACTGCCATTAAAACAGGATGAAATCCTTTAACTGCCATCTCCAGCACTCCCACCTGTCTTTTTGTTAGTGTCTATAAATTATATACCATAGCAGGTCTCAGTGCCATGTTGGAAACCTTTCCTTTTGCTCCTGCTGCTATTCTTCTGTCACAAATGGCCTGTATTTATATAGCGCTTTACTAGTCCCTAAGGACCCCAAAGCGCTTTACATATCCAGTCATCCACCCATTCACACACTGGTGATGGCAGCTACATTGTAGCCACAGCCACCCTGGGGCGCACTGACAGAGGCGAGGCTGCCGGACACTGGCGCCACCGGGCCCTCTGACCACCACCAGTAGGCAACGGGTGAAGTGTCTTGCCCAAGGACACAACGACCGAGACTGTCCAAGCAGGGTCTCAAACCGGCAACCTTCCGATTACAAGGCAAACTCCCAACTCTTGAGCCACAATCACCCCTGAGACTCCACCTGCACGCACTCTCTTCTTCACCTCTCTTTTGCACCCTCTGTTGCTTTGAATGGTTGATCCCAGATATTTAATCTCATCCACCTTCACTACCTTTACTGCTTGAATCTTCGCTGGTGCACCCCTCATTCAC